ATAATTTCTTTAATGTCAAAAATCAAAACTTTTTCCCTAACAAAGCCTTTAATTATTTCCTAAAAGTTTAGTTAGGTTCAGTTTATTAATCTATATCTTATACTGCAACTACTGTGGGTCTTCTGCAATATCCAATAATTTACTTCTATCTATATATGTTCTGTTTTAGTTGAACTCCTATCATTGTTGTGGAATACATACAATTATTATCGTCAATTCGCTCCACCAGTGGCTTCACATGTTAAAGAAAATCTGCACCTGGGACAAAGACCTCAGTTACTGGAGTGTGAAGGGCGCAGTAGACAAGGCTCATAAAACTTTACACAAACACACCAAGGAGTTTGAGGTCAGCCATATTGATATATGTATTTATTGTAGTGAAGCGTCTAATGCTACTTCCAACAAGGTTGCCTTAAACGTTCAACGCTCCTTCGGATGGGGAATAGAAAGAGACAGAGCGATAGTAAATGAATGGATCAATTGTGAATTGTTAGCAATATTTATTAAGTTTGTCTTAAAGAAACAATATGATTTCACTATAAATTGATATTTATACCTTCCTATTTTCATTGAAACAACACGAATTTTCACTTCTTCCGTACGGAGGGACTCCTTGTTTTTTTATTTATAAATTCCTTCGATAATTTCTAGGTCATTGTTTGTAATATAAAGCATTACTTATTGTGAACTTTATCATCTTATATTATCTTAGGTAATTGATGTGTTTGTGAAGTCTGAGTAAATAAATATCTTACTTTAAAAATCGTCTACAGAAAGTTCTAAAGGACAGTGTATCGAGTTGTCTCGTGGACTCGGCGAGTGAGTCTATCGACCACGTGGGTATTTGGGATAGACCAACGAGGGCTGGCACTGCAAGCAACGCCGCGGGCGGAACATATATGATAGATCTTCAGAACCATGTAGTACTGAACAGAAACATTAAGGTATATAAACACGTCATTTTTATTACACTTAAAATATAATAATGATAAAAGATTTGGTGGTTATGAATGATTTCGCCTGTTTTCTGTTTTATTTAGCTGTAAAGGTAGCTAGCAACAATTGCATTTTTTCTGTCTTTAAAAAAAAACATTAGTTACAGTTATAAATATGCAACATACGCATTACGCAATAATCTTTTAATAATTGAATTCCCTTTTACAGAAATACGAATACCAGCTCGAACAGCCTTGTCAATTAATACAAGAGAACAACCTCCTGGCAAAGATTCCGAGTCTGTTGAACAAGGCTCGAACATTATGTAAGGACAGCATCGCTATCACGGCTACCTCGCGCTACTACATGCTTGGACGACTTTGTAACATTGGTTATAGAGACAAGTGAACATTTAGGATCTTTGGAGGTAATTCTTTTTTTTAATTCTATAACGAATATTTATTTTATAAACGTAAAATTGTTTCAATTTCTATATTGGTTCTTATATAAATGTGAATTGTCATTTCTATTTCATTTAAATAATTTCTAAAAATTAGTCTTATATCCAAAAAAAATGTCTTCATAACTAATAAAGTGAACATACTGTAGTCATTGCAAACGGCTGTCGATAATTGTTTACTGCTAAGATTGTAATAAATACAAAACATTTTAATAATAATACTCTATATTGTAGGTATATATGTCTTACGACGACCGGAAAACTACGTGGGTCACAAATGCCTCAATATGACCGTACCTGGCGCCAGGAGTAGAGGAAGGCCCAAAAGACGTTGGCTTGATGTCGTGCAAGATGACATGCGTGCCAATGGACTCCACAAGAAGGATGCCGAAGACCGGGCTAAGTGGAGGAAACTGAGTGGGAAAGCGGACCCTGGGTTCTCCCGTCCTGGGCGGGACGAACAACCGGGACAAACGCTAGGGTGATGATGATGATGATGATTGTAGGTATATTCAACATTGCCGAAGGACAAACAAAAATCTCAAGCCATAAACATAACGCAGCAGAAGCATAAAGCTCTATCGGATCTGTTCAAATATTTGAACAAAATCGGCTTGAATTATCGCACGGGTCTCGTTATACTATCGGCTTCTGAAGACATGTATGATTTTACAATACTACCCGTCGATTGGGATGCCGCTATGAGCTATTTGAAAAGCAGGTATTTACAACTATATAACAAAAGCATTCGATTTTGTCCATGTTTTTGTGTGATCACCAATATTTTGTTATTTGTAAAGTATTTATTTATATTTCTTTTTGCTATAAGTGTATTGTTAAAAGTGTAAGGCCTCGGCCTCGAATTTTGCGGGCAGCGGAGCGGCAGCGGGAGCGGCAGGATCTTACGCGTATAATCAAATGGACCGACCCTCGAATACAGCGGTGCCCGCTGCCCGCTATTTTGGAGAAATGTATGCGTTTCCGTGCCAGTTATATGATATAATAGAAATAGAAATTAAATCCGCATTATATTGATATTCCATGACATTATAAATAGTGTTAAATAATAATTTGTGCTAATTTTTTTAGTATGTATATACATTTTATTTCCAGAAATATGCTAACACTCAGAAGAAGTCGATTTCGCGTTATACGAAACATATTTTCGATTTACGAACCGTAGCTACGAGTCTTACAAACGCGTTAGAAATAGACTCTACAGGATGTAATATAACTTCGCTTGAAGAAATACTCAATGTGTTAGTGGAATGCTACGCTCATACGAGCTTTCTTATAGAACAATTCAACGTCGTTCTGAAGTCTGTTCCGGAAAAACATTTAAATACTGATTCTGAGCCAGATTTCGACAAAGTGGTATCAAACTCACCTTTGGCTGATTGTTTCAAAGATAGTGATGAATGGAAGTCTCTTAATAAAAAAATTAAGTCAATTATATCTCTAGTTGATAAACAAAAGGCACTGTTAAACAAATTATCTCGAAACCCAAAACAAATCGAAGAATCCATTAAGTTACCTCTAGTTTCTCAAAGTCATATAGAAGTTAAGAATAATTTGGACGTTATAATAAAAAAAAGTGAGGAAATTATTACCGAATATCAGTTTGTTTTGAAAACGACGGTCATAGAAGACTTCACACCGCATCATCCAATACTAAGAAGCCTGGAAAATATGGTGGCTTACATTAAAGATATAAAAACAGAACTTGATAAATTGGATGAACCGATAGACCAAGAAATGGATGAAACTGACGGCACAATGTTAGAGCAGACTGAAGATGTTGTGGCTACGATGTTACTTGTGATACAATCTTTGTACAAAAAACATCTGCCGCCAGAGAAACAAGCGGAGAATATGGACGTTATAAACGCTATTGATGAAATTATACATGAAGGTGAAAAAGTTGAAACCAAAGAATTTTTAGAAGATAATCATTTAAAAGAATTACTCCAAGAGAACCTTTCGCCTGATTCAAGAATGTTGCAATTAGAAACTTTAGTTACAAAATTGCGCTAACTTTTGATTAACTATGTGCAATATATTGCGACTCGGTCTGATATGGAAGAAGCTAGAACGGTTGTTATGAGATTGGTACCGATATTGGAGCAAATTATACTATTTGTCCAATATTTTGTATCCCAAAAAGTTGCTGTGCATAGAGTATCCTGTAAAATACTGTTAGTGCTTTTGAAGATTTTCTTGGATCTGGCATGGAAAGGGTAATTAAATCGATACAATTTAAATAAAATATACCACAATGTTAAAATGAATAAGTTGGGGTTGCATTTAAATATAAAACTTTATAAATATCTAAAGTACAGAAAATTTATAAAATATTATAAAAACTTTCATAAATTGCCACAAATTAGATAATGTCAATAAGTTGTTCCACTGAAGCTTTTTAATTTATATTGCACTTACGATTATCCTTAAATAAGTTATTGTTTAAGAATGTTTTAGTCAAGCAATAAATTGAAATTTCCTTTATTTCCTTACAGTTTCTGCCAACACTCAGAACTAGATTCAGAGGAGGGTGAGGGAGAAGGCACTACTGGAGACAGCGGTATGGGACTTGGTGAGGGAGAGGGACAGAAAGATGTCTCTGAACGCATAGAAAACCAGGTGTGGGAAAGGGATAGATAGAATTATTGAAAGATCATTGACTTTAGCGCTGTACACAAAATTTATTACACACAAAAAAATTATAGTTTTTGTTTTCAAAGGATGAATTGGACGACGCGCATAAACCAGATGAAGAAAAGAACGAACAAGATAAAGATTGCAAGGAAGAAGAGAAGGGAGTCAATATGACTGACGACTTTGATTCTCATTTACAAGTCGTTGAACAGAAAGGTTGATAATATAGTCATATAAAATTAAGTTTTAAACATATAAAATTCGGTTGTAAATTTAATAAATGTCCTTTTAAATTCCAGAATAATCAGATGAAGAAAGTGATGATGACGATGCCGATAAATAAATGGGAGATACAGATAATGCTGCCGAAAAGTAAGTGAATATCATCATTATTTTTGCCACACATTAAAATAATTATTATAAAATGTGATCTTAAATGTCGAATATTTTTTTATTTGTTTTTAGTCACATGTAAAATTGAAAGCATAACCAATTTATTTGAAATTGACTAATATTGTTAAATTGTCATAAAGTCGGTTAGCAAGAGTTAGAACGTCCAATATATACATATGTTAAGAAAGATATTAGGAAAATAAAAGGATGCCTTTATTTTCATTATTGTATAAGATTCTATAAGCTGTTTTAAAAACACCGTATAGTTAAATTGCATTTGTATGAACGTTAGAGCTCTAGTTAACCACTCTGTATAATATTAAGTAATTTTGTGTAAAGTTATTTTAATATTCCCTATTTTTTGTTCTTTTATGAAAAGGCTCGATCAACAAATATGGGGATCCGAAGACGAAGAAGATATAGACGAAGAACAAAATAAGAACGAGGCAAAGGTGAGAAAGAAATGGGCTCTAAAGAATAAGAACTAGGAAAAGATGAGCAGTGAAGGAAGGGAAAGGAAAATAAGATATTAATGAAATGGAACGCGAAGTTGACGATGACCAGGTTAGTTTATTCGACTCTTTCGTTAATATTTAAGTGTTGATGTTAACTATATAGTAAATAATTTATTTTCAAGGTTGATCCCTATCATGGAAAACAACAAGAACTACCTGAGCCCGAAGACTGCAATGCCCGATGATTTAAACTTGGACGGCGAAGAAAAAGACGATAAGGTAAACATATATTATTCACGAAACTCGTCATAATAATTGTCTAATAAAATAATAATAAACTAAATATCACATTCAGGATGGAGAAACTGAAACTGAAAATCCGTTTGAAATCGACGCTATGAAAGAAGCTTTACAAGAAGAGCAGAAAGAAAATGATGATGAAGATAAAGATAAAGATAAAGGAAATAAAAATGGTCTGGAAGTGTCCAGTGATGAAGAAGGTGAAGGAAACGATGCTGAACAGGTAGACTTATAGGATAATCTTCTTCTTCTATATATATAAAAATGGATTGCTGTTCCTTAGTCTCGCTAAAACTCGAGAACAGCTGAACGGATTTATCTTATCATAGTCTTGAAATGTTCGTGGAGGTTCACGGAAGGTATAAAAGCTGAAAAAATTGATTCATTACTGGGAAAACCATAAAACAGCCCTTTTCTATTTGCCATACAAACGTTTTTTTGACATTAGATTTGACAACTAACTAATATGTCAATGATTCTGTCGCTCTTCAAAACACGGAGATTTATGGCTTTTTTTTTTATGGTATAGGGGGCAACCGAGCAAACGGCCTACCTGATGGAGGTAGTACCGTCGCCCATAGACATCCCCGACATAAGACATGTTGCGGATGTGTCACCACCCTTAATTTGGGAAGAGGGGGAGGAAAAATGGGAAGGGGAGGAAAAAGGGAAGGGGTAGGAAAGGATGGGAAAAAGGGAAAGGGCAACTGGCTCTCTCACTCATCGAACGAAACGTAGCAACTAAGGCTACTTCACGCCGATCTTCTGTGAGAGGGTGGTACTTCCCCGGTCGAGCCAGCCCATGTTCGAGCTGCAATCAATTGACCACAGCTAGGCTCTACCACCTTTAACTTACAGGTAAACTCCAAAAATATAAATAAAAAAACGTAATAGATATTTCTTGATTATAGGGCGATACGAAGTTCGCCAGGTCTTCTAGTATTTTCATAAAATTAACATTATCGGATCTACTAGTCGATTTGTTATACTACAATTTACTGCGTTGACTATTTTCATTAAGACACTTTCATTCGAAAACCAAAGTTTTAATTGTTCTTTAGAGTTGTTAACCACAAAACCTTCATTTAAAAAGCAAACTTTAGAAATATTATATTCAAACAACTAGCTTTTTCCACGACTTCGTCCGCGTGGAATAGTGACTTCCGGCGGATTTTTGGTTCTTCTCACATAGTTCCCGTTCTTGCGGGGTTTTCAGAATGGTCGAGTTCCCGTAGAATTTTCAGGATAAAACCTAGGTTTTTTTTATTCACAATGAAGTACCCTTAACCAACAACATATTTATTTGTTTATTTGAATAAAGATTAATATTATTATGTTGATAAAACTTAAACAAATTATTTCGACCAAATTAGATACCATAAAAACGGTTTTTGTGAGTTAATCTTAAAAGATAGACATATACTGTCGCGGACTGTTTTTTAGATCATTAAAAGAGCCATTATTCTTTAATACATATTTTTTGTGTATCTTGAACCGTTTTCACGGCGCACGCAACGGAAGGCTTCAAAGATGAAATAATTTCTCCCGTTTTTACACATTTACCACTATACCTTTGCTCCTATTGGTCGTAGCGTGATGTTATATAGCCCACAGCCTTCCTCGATAACTGGACTATCCAACACAAAAAGAATTATTCAATTTGAATCAGTAGTTTCGGAGATTAGCGCTTTCAAACAAACAAACAAACAAACTCTTCAGCTTTATAATATTAGTATATATTGTCACGATTGGATCTTATCGACTATTTATCATTATTCGATATATCCCAGAAGTATTCTCTCATGGCTATTTGACAACTGAATTGAATAGTGAACCGTTGGTTGATAATAAGTTATTGGCATGCCATAAACCATAGTTCATAGTGTATTCAAGAATCAGGATAGATTCGTATTTTTAATTAATTTATTATCTATAAGTATATTATTAATATTATACACACACTTCAGTTATTCATAGTTCATACTAGTCAAACTTGACGTTTGTTTATCAGTATGCCAAAATAATTTCGTAAGAAAATCATCATAATTGGGAAAAATATATCCAAAAAAACCTTTTTTAAAGACTATAATAAATTAAATTTCCGGCCAATAAATAGCACAGTCAAAACCAAAGTCAATCAATTCTAAAATTGCAATTCGGATAGCCACTTAAATATAATAAGCCTGTCATATGTTTGAAATGTTAACATATTTTTTTCAATAAATAGTCGGTTTAGTAGTAAAACAGATCACCAATTAAAATGGAATTTTGCTCTATTCTATTCTATATCTAAAAATGGTGTTTACTCGAGGGCTCGCGTGTTAAAAGATTTTGGATAAGAAGTTTTATTGCTGCGAGCATTTTATAACATTTCCATAATTCTCCACTCATAGATAATTAATTGCCAAAAGAATTATTTTATAGCCTTTAATATGGCAAGCACCCAACGACTTTTTATTCTGAATTTAATAATTCTATTTGTAACTTAAATTTTATTTTAATTTTATTTTGAAGTCATTACATAACTATGATTGATTGTTTAACCTTCTGCTACGGTAATATAGGCTCTTTGTTTTTAAATTTATTTTTAAGTTTTTAGTTCGGTTTGCTATAAAAACGTGTTTTTTAGTTTTTTAAACTATTATTTATTTATTAAACTAGAAATTAACTTGAACTCATTGTTCGTTGTAATAATGTATAAAACTTTTTGCCACTAATATTTTAGCAACTTGTTATAATAGGGTTTTTTACAAAATATAACTCCCGCAGTATTTTATTATTTAGCCTAACTTTACAATGATGTACTAATTTGAGACTTCAACTTTAATTAATTACAAATATAAAATGGGTTAATAAAATACGGTCATTAACGCGATTTTATATTAATTTCCTTACTTGAAGTTTAGATTGGTTTGCTGTATCAATATCTATAGATATGATCGGTCTATTGCCACTTCAGCATAGTAATTTGTTTCGCAATGTCGTTGGCGTCAGTTCTATAGCGTAAACTCTATTCTTAACTCGGTCTGCTAGAGAAAGTAAGAGTTTGTCATGCTCCATAGCTCCTGAACGACCTTGAATAATTGGACCAGTTTTATAGTAGGTTTACGTTTTAGCTCTGTAGGTTAATTTGATACGACTGGAGGAATAGAATTTTAATTTTTCAACCAAATATGCCAAGATCGAGGCTAGAAATTTGCTATGCTATTTAATATGATTTTCCGGTGTGAGTGAACATGGGGAAAAAGGGTTAGGATCATTGTTACAATTCTCGACATGTTTATATTAACCTAAGTAGGTGTCTCTGTTAATTAACATCCGCAGTACTAGTTATGAGAATTACCGTATCACAACAAATATAAGGCTAACAGACTCATGAAAACTGTGAATTAATAATGAGGATAGATTGATAAAACAAAATTAGTTATCAAAGTTCATGTGGCGAAACCCGTGTTGAGCAGTGTGAACATGAATTACACGGGAACATTAATTCACGGTAAACGAATTGGTAAGACGAAATTAGTTTCATAACAATGATAATTCCTTCAAGAAATTTGTTAATTCTATTAAATAATCAAATTTAACTGCTTACTTTTTCTTCTTACAAGTTTGATTGTGAAATTAAATTAAACTAGATAGTTGTTTAAAAAATATTAGTTATTCAGGAAAAAATGGATGTTTAGGATAATGCTTATTCAAAATTCTGTTTATGGTATCCCCGAGTATATTTGTGCGTCGGCCTCCAGACCAGACATATTTATGTGTTCTCGAATTTTAAAGCGCGTTGTGATGATAGAGCCAACTGTTTCTTGGAAAACCAACATCCCCAAAAACCATACCATCAAGGTCAATAAATATTACGATCTCACATACGAAACTACTCCAAATAAGTTCGTCGTGGATTTGTAAGCGGTAGAAGTGGGAGCGAGAGGTATAAAAGTTAAATTTCTCTGCAACCCACTTAAAGAATTGGGCCTGTCCAGAACTCACATTAATTTGTTTTTGGAACGTACTTAAAAGACAGTCCTAGTAGGTTCTTTTTAAATTTGGTTAGATAAAGAGAGGATCTTGGACGGTAGAGATGAGCGTTTAACGCGCGTTAGATAAGGCCCCCTTAAACCTACACCTGGGTCCCAGGCACCGTCGAAACTCCACTCATAAGTGGAATATTCCTGACTGGTTTTAACTAACGAGCCTCGAGTATCAATTGTTATATCCGGGTTATACCTAAGTTTCAGGCAATTTGTTTTTATTTATATTAATATTCCAGAATAATATTAACTCTAAACATTAAAAGTTTATTCTAAGCTTTATTATTTTATATGTAATTTGGTTTTTGAACGAAAAATTTATTTGTTATAAATGGAATGATCATATTACTTTTATAACAAAAGTATTTTTGTTTATTTTTTCGGTTTAATTAAAAAGTTATATCAAATTAATATTCGTTTTTGAATTCAGTACCGAAAACACGCCGACAATTCCTGAGCAAACCGGAGCGCGAGTAACGTCACAATATTAATTTCTCCTCATTGTAGCACACAGCTGATACATTGATAGAAGCGGATGACACTGTACTATCTTCAAATTCTTTTAACGTTGTGAAGTCATAAGTACGACTTATCGTGGCGCGTTCTTAGTCACGTGGTTATTTCATAAATTTTATAATTTTTTATCGTTAATAATTAATAAAAATAAAAATTTACTTTTTTTAGGTTTTAGCATCAATTTTAAAGTTTTATTATATAAATTATAAGTTTTGAAGTTAATAAAAATCGATATTTTTTTTTAACAAACAGTTTTGATTTGCATAATCTACGTTGTAGACCGTGGTTTAATATCTGAATAATTAATATTAGTTTAACGAAGGTTTATATAACCAAATATGTGCGAAATATCAGTTAATTAACTAATGCCTTGTAATCTATATATATATAAAAGAAAGTCGTGTTAATGACTCTACTTATAACCCAAGAACGGCTGAACCGATTTAGGTGAAAATTGGCAGGGAGGTAGTTTAGAACCGGGAAATTGCAATAGGATACTTTTTATCCCGTTCGACAGCATTCCCGTCGGACTTGACATGAAACGTCAGTCATTATAAAACGTGGAATAACACAATTGACAGCTATGCAATTGACGTATAATGACAGATATGTAATGACGTATGGATGACAATTAGATATTTGTAAGAAATCTACTATATAAAAATAAAAATATTTAGGTAATGTGTTT